ATCAAAATCATCAACAATATTCTTTCAAAAATTAATTATGACGAAATATCTGAGCCGATGGGAACGAAACATTTGTACAAGAAAACAGATCAGAATTATTCTTAATTTATATTTAATGAACTATTTTTAAGTTTTTAAAATAAAATTATAAATTGTTATCTGAAACGTGGGCGAAAACTTAGCTTATTACAAAGTAGAGAATCGGCTGATTATTGCGCAAATTAGTCCTTCTTGGTTTGACAATAAATTTTTTAATTTTTGTATCAAACGATTCAGAAAAATTTGAAAAATCAAAGAAACAAAAAATTATCAAGTCGAAAACATTAATTTCTCCTATGACGTTAAACAAGGAAAATTTGTTCAGAAGATCTAAATTTTGTCATGACATGAAGACATTTTGACATATGTCTTCATAAGTAAATCCGCATTAGTAAAGCACACACACACACTCATATATATATATATATATATATATATATATACTATGTTTGTGTGTATACTCAACAAATATATCATTTAGCATCAGATATAAGGATACGGAAGCGGCCTAAGGACCCCAGAGGTTCAGATCGATTTTAACCCTTTGCGATATCATAATTTACACATAAACATGCAATCGTATTCCCATTTATATTCCCAACGTTCCAGGCACTCCAATTCGATTTAATAAGTTTTCTGTAAAAACAACTCTCTCAGAAAAATATTTATATAATGGAATGATGGGCTATTAATTCATATCAAGTTTGTAATGAGATTTTAGTACTTAATAAATACAGACATATAATCATGTTTTATCTATTGCGTATCAATAGTAATTTATTTATTTATTTCTTATTCTTTAATAATCGGATCAATATTTATATTCATTGAGCTGTAATGCTGGGATGGAAGTTATCTTACATATTCTGATAATTTAAATTTATTTTTAAATAGAAAACTTTAATTACGAGTACTTTATTTTTAGATATAAAAATTAGAGACAACATTTAGAAACAATTCCAAACACTAAACCATGTGCAACCTACAAATAATCAAATTGAACTAATTACTTAAAAATCAATTAAGTATAAAATCATTTGTTATCTAAACTTGTAACACCTATCTATATATTTTATAAAATAATGAGTGCAGTTAAATTTGCAGTATACCATTATTTAATTTTTTTTTATCTATATACTGATAATTTAAATTTATTTTTAAATAGAAAATTTTAATTACGAATACATTATTTATAGATATAAAAATAAAACCGATTGCCTTCTGAATGACAACTCAAAGTTAAATTCACATTTGTTTTTAAACTTGACCTATGCAATTTATAGTGTTGATTTAGAATCATAAAAATACTATTATTTGGATCCTACTTTACTATTATAAAATTATTTTATCTAACTACTCAATTCAAAAAAGGAATTTGTTCCAAATACATCATTACTTAAATCAATGCAGAATAAAAAGTTGCAATAAGACAAAAGTATTATACATACATATCCAGCGAAGCTCAAATATTTGGCAATCGTTGTTGAGTATTTTGAGAATTTTACTAAAAAATTAGGGTTCTACAATACTACGAGAATCTCCTCCATCCATATCAACTTGACCCAATATGTGTTTTGCAATTTATGGATAGATTCTGCCGCATAACATACGAATGTTATGGCAAGACCATGTTATGAAGGACTTTCCATACTAAATATTGAAAAAAGCCATGTGGTTGCTGTGCAGTCAGGCGTATTTCTCAGATTGTCAGATGGAAACCATAACCTAGAAACTGCACAAATTTCAAAAAAAAACATCTTAGATAAAAGTGTGTTTATGATGCAGCTCCATAACATACGAGTGACGTTGCAGTTTATGTGTAAAATGCCTAATTGCACAGCAAATACATTACATATTGATAGTATTCAGTATGATTCAGTAGCATAATGAATGGAAGTTGGAGCGTAACATGGCCTTGCCATCACATTTTTCTGTTATACCACAGAATCGGTCCTTTAATGTCATATATATGGCATATGGAAAAGCATATGCCTTCTCAATATTTATTCAAAACATCAAGAATACAAATATGACAAACCAGACCAGTATTTCCCAAATCAACCAGGAACATGGGTAATTTGCAACAAAACCTCGAACAGTATTAAACGACTTACTACATCATGAGAATTTTACATTTGGCTTCATACCATTTAATCAAAACAATCAAAACCCAATTATCTTCCACTTTATCCAACTTCCCTCAGAAGAAAAGAAAATTCACCATCCATATCAACATAAAACCTTGGTCTGACAAGTATGAAGTTTTGTAACAAGCAACTCTCGACGTGGAAAGAGGCCACTAAACAACAGTGAAGTGGTGCCCCGGCCACCACAAATATAATGAAAATAAACTTTTCATGTGAATGACGTCGGAAAACCGAGGATAAAAGAAAAAAAGGGGAAAAACAGAGAAAAGAGAGAAGAAGTCTTCTACTTTCTTATAATACCTTCCTCAGACAACAGCCGAGTATTCCGTCCTAAACTTTGCCATCCGACAATAGAGAAAAGAATTAACAAAATAGTTGTGTATCATTCCTCATCTATTTGTTATTGAAAATTCATAGAAAAGTTTGAGGAAAGTTATGAGGAAGAGTTCTAGTTTGTTAATGCTTCAACTATTGACATATTGGCGGTGGACATGATATTCGAAGTCGATAAGATATATCCGAGATATATTGGGGATGGGTGAATAAATATTTGAAAAGCCTTAGGATATGTCCAAGAGGATTAATTCAAAGAGCATATTAGAGGCTTGAAATGTCGGCGAATATATCAAAGCTTAGCTTAGAATATAGAAAATACGAAAAGTAAGCTTCTAGCACTTCTGTGACAGAAGTATTTATATTGTGTAGACATCGAATTTTTAATTCAAATTTCTAGAGCCAAAATTCGAATAAACAAAATCAGAAAAAAATTACCACAATAACCAATCACAATTTCACCAAAGCTCTAGGTTGCACGTAAAAGCTCATAATTTCCAAACAATGTCAGGATTTTTTTTCAATTTTTTGCAGAAGACCCAAGTACTTCCAAGAAACGCAAATAGACAAAATATCAAATCTAGTTATTTCAATATATGACAGTAAAATTTTTTATCGTTTTTGAGATAATTTGGAGGGTATGCTAATTATTCCTAAAATTAAATTTTAATATTTAAACTATTTTTTTTTTCAAAAAAGAGACCTGTTCCCTTAATATACACAATTGTTTATAATATGTAACTTGTAATTTGTAAACTGTAACTAATCCAAAATGATAATATGGATGTTAAATGTATTTGAAAGTATATACTTCTTGTGGTTATAAAAATTTTATGTAAAAATCAATTGTTATCAAATATCTATATCAAAATATAAATGGGGTATATTTGTTACTTGCATATATGAAAGCTCAAAAATTGTCTAGAATCAACCGACTAGGATGGAATTTCAAATCAAACTTAACTATTGAAATAAATTGGTTTAAATTTTTTTTCATCTTTTACAGAAGCAATAAAAAATAGTTGACATAAATCCTGGTCAGAGATGCATATTAAATTTCTTAGAAAAGCAAAAATCTTAAAAAGTATTTTTAAAAATATATTTCAATCATGATTAATGGTGCATTATTATGGTGCACCTACCAAAAACATTAAAAATATCCATAACGATTTGGAACCTTTAAGAATGGTGTCCATTATTCCACTTTTTAATAAATTTTTGTAACTAAACCTCTTTCCTTAGGCCTATAATGATTTATAATATCCTTTTAGATACATATAACTAATTCACTAAGAAAAGTTTCATCAAAATCGTTCAAAAAGTTTTGGAATTTTGGCATACATACACACACATGTGTATCTCTTACCAAATTTTGGCATCTAACGATTCAGAATCACTTGAAACGTCGAAAAAACATTAGTAAGTCTCGTTTTCTGGGAAAAACAAAAGTTTTCTTTGAGAAGTCAATAATGTACATTTTTTAGAAAGCAAACTATATATCCAAATTAAGGCTATTGGTGCATGGCATCGTGCCTTAAGGCAAATTGCTAGAACTTTCTGTACCAAAACCTAAATCATTAAAAAAAATTTGCAAAACTTTGAAAAAAATATATTTTTGAGAAATCCTGAAATTTTTGAAAAAAATTGCCTTTTTTGAAAAATTTGTTATTTTATATTGATTTTTTTTAAATTATGTTAGCTGATTTGGAATAGAAATATCAGAGCGCGTAAGCGCCGCGTGGTCGTCTACCGTTCAAATATTTGTACGGAGTCCATACAAATGTACACAAAAATTTTAATTAATATTATAATCTTCATAAAATATTTGATAATACGATGTACATATATCTAATGTTTATTTTTGACCGCCAAATGACATAGTTTTTTACTTTTTTTATTGGATCTCTGGAGACGCTGGACTTGCCTTGACAAAAATTTTACCAGGTGTTAACTTCATTTATACAAGTAAGATAGTTAATAAAAATTAATAATTCACATTTCCAAGAAAAATATAGGTAATGAAGTTGAAACATGGATATGATATAAAATTCTATAAAAAACTTTGCCAAAGACCTCATTAAACAAAAATGTATCAACAAATATTTGCCAGCACAATTACGTATTCTTCTTATAGTAATTAAGATGCCTTTAAGGATTATGTGAAAATGGGGTGATATCACAATGATTTCACAATTTCATAGATGTGACTTGAGTTTTTAATTTTTCAAACAAATTCTTCTCAAAGTACATCTCGATATTGCACAAGTATCTTATTATTATCAAACTCTATTCATTATCGAGTCCACAATTCAACTTTACACAAAAGTTCCATCTGATTTCTTGGAAACATTGCAAATATTCACAACGCAACTCTAAGAAGTAACAATGGACATAACATTTTCTATTGAATTCAAGAAATTCAAGTTGCACAACAATACTATAAAATCATCGAAATAAATATAATAAAATTGAAAGACTCACCATTATCGTGATGAAAGTCCGGGGCGTTGTCCGGAATTGCTTGTAGAACTGTGCACAGGATGGCCAAAAGGAGGATATTGAATCTCACAATCATTTTGGGATAAATTTGATAGTTTTGTTTGTCAAAAAAGCACCACTAATTATCACAACTCCTAAAATTTGCCAACCCGTAGAAAGGGTGGTTTGGTTGATTAATTTTTGACCATTTGGACTAGTTTAGGAAGAGATCAACATTTTTTACTTTACAGATAAACTTTAGAGTTAAATTTAACATTTATAGTTATTATTTACACTTTTTGCACTATGGGGAAATATAGAATAATTTATTATTTTTAACGTCTTCATATTTCCTTTATCCTCTCCAACGCAGGTGTCGTCTGCAAAGGAATTAGCAAAAGTTAATTAACCTGAATTTTATACACTAGACAAGAAGATGAGAATTAAATTACAATCGCAACTAGTAACTATATTATAAAATATATTGTGTTATATTAATTAAGACATAAAAGTCAGGATTCATCTCGTTGCCTTTGCACAAGTGTTCTTTGTGTTCAAATTGTCGGAGCATTTGCGAAATTAAAAACTTTATTACAATTAAACGAGCGAATTGCAAAAATTAGATATTTAGCACTCTAGCTAATTAATGCAGAGCTGTTTGTAATGTAATAACCTATTTTAAATTTAATTTCAACGTGGAAGGTAACGGTGTAATTTCTACATAGAGTTAGTTATTGGAGTTTCTGCAATTATGTACAAAACCTTCTTGTTTTTGTTACAATGTTTGCTTGCTCATCCATCTGGTATAATTTTTACCAGAATAGTTTAAAAATACAGTCATATATTTATTTTAGTTATATTATAATCTGCCAAATTTCGGAATTTGGATTGGAAAATTGTATAAAAAACAGCTCTTATTATCATTTTCTTTAAAAAACTTAAATGTCTAATTTTGCAATTTTTTTTTTAATTTTGAAAAGATCAAATTAGAAATTATATCAAAATTATTATTTTTTTACAATGTTGAAAAAATTTCAGTTTAATCAAAAATATCAAATTAAATAAGAACTCGAGTTCCATAAAATAAAACTAAAGAATAGATTTAAAAAACGCAATTTTAAACATTAAGATTTGATTAAATTTATAAGTCAATTTGTTTAAAAAAACTAATATATAAAATATTTAATGTAACAACTAATCTAAAAATTAAATATCAATTATATTATTTTTACGTCTACTTCTGCTAATTAATGTGGTTTCAAGTATAAAATTCTCTTTATTTTTTATTATTATTAATTTATTCTTTAACTCAAAATCAAAAGTCTTTCTCTAAAATAAACTATATTTCTTTACAAACGTATATGACTATAAAACTTGATATTTTTAAAAAAGTTCGTAATGTTTAAATTTGCCTTTTTTTAAAAAAATATACAAAAAGTCAAATCAGACCTGTTATCAAATTTATTAATTTTTTTTCCAAATAAATAAATTTTAAGGTAACATAAAAATATCAAATCAATTCAAAACTCGAGTTCCGTAAAAAAATGAAAGGATTATCAAAACGATATGTACGATATAAACGATATATAAATATTTCCTATAGTTTGACTTGATAAATAATGCCTTTAAAAAATAATATATAATATGTAGTTACAAACTAATCTGAAAATTAAATATCAAATATATCATGTTTACTTTTGATAATTTATGTAATCTCATATTTATAATAAATTATTCTTTTCAAAATCAATTTTCTTTCAAAATAATTTCATGAAATCTATTTTTATTTGAAGAAATGGTTAACGACTACAAAACTTTAATGATATTTATATAAATGCATATTTTAATGAACTATTAAAATCATTTATAATTAATTTTATGAGAGATTTAGATGAGAGATTATAATTCAAATAAATATATAAGAGATTTATTAATTATTTATAATTAATAAATCTCTCATAAAATTATATACAGGTCATTTTTAGGTTTAATTTTTTACTGGAAAGTTTTTCAATAATAAAATTATCAAGCATTTTACGATTTTACATTTCTGACTAAATTCACTAACTTTTGATGAAACTTGCCAACATACTTCATTACTTTTTTTCAAAGGAGGGCTTCTCAAATTTGACCAATTTTGAAAATTTTAAATTTATAGTTCAACTAAACGTCATAATTCTTGAGAACTTGGGATCAAGTGTGTTATTGTTTTCGACTGTGATTTTAGAAATGTTATTCACGACTACGGTTACACAGTTTAAATGAATAAAATTAGAAAAAATTACCACAATAACCAAAAAACAGTCACAATTTTACCAAAGCTCTAGGTTGCACGTAAAAGCTCATGATTTCCTAACGTGAGAACTTTTTTCTGATTTTTCTAATTTTTTTCAAGACATATGCTGTCAATATTATCAATCAATTTTGGATTGAAGTTACGCTCTGAGAAACCCTATTTATATGTAAAAATATACACGATATAAATCTATGATATAAATCTTACAAAAATACTATTACACGACTGCATCAATGTTACCTAGTCTTTATTTTTATCCAAATTTATTTTGTTATGAAAAATAAGAGCAAAATAAATATGTTTGATAATGAAAAATTATTTTTGAACTATATTATTTATCAATTTTGGATTCGTAACCGTGAAAAACATTTCTAAAACCACAGTCAAAAACAATGACACACTTGCCCACAGTAACACAAGATTTTAAGAATTAAGAACTTTGGTTGAGCTATAAATTTAAATTTCATAAAATCGGTTGAATTGGGAGAATATCTTGATGGAAAATGATTTTCACAAATATATTACTCCCATTCCATAAAATAAATAAAGTAACAAAAACTTAATGACCCACCTATCAAATCAATTTTCCGAACTATAAAACTTTTACCCGCATATTAAAACTAAACGACCCATCGAAATTTTTAAATCGCCGTTGGTAAAAATGTATACTCGCGCAGAACCATAAATAACAAAATGATAAAATCGTATGGATTTCAATAAAATGAAAATCTCAACAGCGCTTTTCATTTTCCAGATTTCCATTCGAGCGTATTGTCAGTGTACTGAATCCGATTTTCTGATTTTTGCATAAAACGCAAGTTCGTTTATATCTTTGAATCGGTTGCTCATATTTTAAAAACTCTTGACACTTCTTTCTGCGAACAATAAAAGGAACTCCCGGACGGTTGTTAAACCCTGCATTCAATGTGAAATACGATTGTGGCAAATAATAAATTTTATTCTTTCCAGAGATATGGACAATGGAATTGTAAAGTAATTGATCATGGGTACAACATAATACGTTTGCTCTATTTTGAATAATTTGTACGTTCTAATATTGGGAAACATAACTTAATTCGTTAAAAAATGAAATCTTATAATATTAACACAGTGTGTCCCAGAACTCAACATCAAGCTGAAACGGGGTGATATTGTTGATCCCAAAAATCATGAAAATAGTAGAAAAAATTCTCACGAAGTTTGAAAATGATGAGCTTTCAAGTGCAGCTCAAAGCTTTGGTGAAAATGTGACAATTTTTTGGTTATTGCGAAAAAATTTTATTAATTGTATTCATTTATGCTTTAGATCCATAATCATAAATAACTTTTCTCAGACCACAGCCAAAAATAATAACACAATCGCTACAAATTTTCAAGAGTTGAAGATTTTTCCTGAATTATGAATTTGAAATCTTTAAAATTTCTTTCTTTAAAAAAATACTCATAATTTTCAAACTACGTGAATTTTTTTTCAAATTGTTTTTATGGTATTTATGATCAATACTATTATCTCGTTTTGGTTTGACGTTGAATTCTGGAACACTATATATATATATATATATATATATATATATATATATATATATTTAAGTGTGTGTGTATGTGTTCATGTATGTATTATAATTCATTTTATGTTAATTATAATTCCAGTCATGTACTTCAATCGCGGTTTGATCAATTCGTGTCGTCTCAAAAATTAATAGAAGAGATTTGTTTAATTCGCAAATGTCTTCGCGGGAATAGATGGATGTTGCGATTATAGAAGAATAAAATTACAACCCCTAGAAGCTCTTATTTCATCCCTTTGCCACTATACTATGGGGCACGATGTAATATAATACGTGATCCTTAGAATAATCATGAATTTCATAAGACGAATGAGATTTACATATCTTAATTGTAATGATAAGTTCAATCGGATTTGGTTCGTGGAAAATTCATTGGAATTTATAGCGTTGATTTGAATTTTTGGAAAAAATGTGATTGTGATAAAAGGCTCATGGGAAATCAGTGCGAATGATATAATATGAATTTTTATGAATTTATTGATTACAGTATCAGCTGTCGGAGATAAAATGTGAAGTAGATGTAGCCATTTGTAAAGGAATTTAATGTGATGTATTTAAGAGCTTCATATTTGTCAAACAAAATAAGTAGATGATAGGTAAGTATTTTCATATATTGTATTTAATCCTATGTTGATGTAAATTAACAATCAATGAGTGCCATCTAGTTTCAAAAATTCTCGATATGTATAAATGAGACTAGGAAATTCGAAAATATCCATATTAAGGATCATCTTATTCCACATCCATTAGTTCCAGATTAATAGAATAATAGAAATCTTTTTTATGGTCAAACACTGGTTGCCGGGCCAACTAGTATATATATATATATATATATATATATATATACACAAAATATAATTACAGAAATCATCACATTTTTCATTTCCTTCATTACAGAAAATCGTGCGTGCCAATATCACATTGCTGGAACAAATCTCGATCAGTATGACTGTCGCCGAAGGGCACTAAACGATTAAAAAGAGTTTTGATCATAAATTTGAAAACTTTTAATAGACAAATGGTTTTTTATGTCGCTTTTCTGTCGGATTATGTGACAGACAGATTGTTATTAAACACGAAACCATATTTAATTTGATATATTGTATAAGTAGATACTTTGGAAATACGTTGAGCTTTGATATTTTTTAGTGGGTGAGTATATTATAATATAAATTAAATTAAATTTTAATGGATGTTAAATCTGTTCACATTGATCTTCTTATTTATTAACTCTAATCACTCTAAAGATCTCTAAATACGATTTCCATATTTCTAGCTTAACTCATTCCATAGCCATAACTCTTCACTATAATTCATACCTTTACCTTTATTCTAGCTCTACCTTTACCTTTATTCTAGCTCAATCTTTACTTT